CAAGTAAAGAAAACTAGCCTGCATGTCTTGAGTCCAAGGTTTCTAGTGATGGTGCTGCCACCAAGAAGCTGTGGAAGTTTGGGCAAGTCTCTTACTCTTCCTGAGCCTTGACTTTCTTGTATATAAAATTAGGGAGCTGTTATAGGTCTCAGGTTGCTTCATGCTCTGGGGTATGTCTGAGTTTATTGTGGGCTGAGATGTGGGTAAGAGGTACTGTTAGGAACTGTTGTCAGGACCAGACTTAGCCCTCAATTATGTGTGCTTCCTGCAGGAACACCATGCTGAGCCTTTGCCTTGAGAATGCAGAGCTGAAAGAGCAGATGGGAGAAGCAATGTCTGATGGATGGGAGATCGAGGAAGACAAGGAGAAGGGCGAGGTGATGGTTGAGACTGTGGTAGCCAAAGAGGGTCTGAGTGAGAGTAGCCTTCAGGCTGAGTTCAGAAAGCTCCAGGGAAAACTGAAGAATGCCCACAATATCATCAGCCTCCTCAAAGAACAGCTTGTGCTGAGTAGCAAAGAAGGGAATAGTAAACTTACTCCAGATCTCCTTGTGCATCTGACCAGCACCATCGACAGAATAAACACAGAACTGGTTGGTTCTCCTGGGAAGCACCAACACCAAGAGGAGGGGAATGTGAATGTGAGGCCTTGCCCCAGACCCAAGAGCCTTGACCTTGGGGCTACCTTCACAGTGGATGCCCACCAAGTAAGTGTGGGCTTAGATGGAACGAAAAACAATTGGAGAAGGGCTCGAGATGACAGTGTTTACCTTAAAACATTCTCCCATGTGAATCAGGAGGTACCAAGAGAAGGGTCTCTTCGTACCACAAACAGTAATAATAATATTCAGTCTACATTTAGCCTTTAGAAAGGCTTTTATAACATAAATATTTCTTGAGTACTTAATTTTTCAGATCACCCACTAGGCATTGGCATGGGGCAATAAAACCAATGGCTGCCCTTGAGATACTTAATATGGTAAGGAAAGATGGCACACAAACAGGTAATTTTAACAGGATGTGGTAACTGCTGTAACATAGGGATGCATCAGTTAGGAGGCAGCCCAGACAAGTAGTATGTAATGACATCCCTTCCTTATCACTGCCATTTTTTTTGTCACAGCCCATCACAGGTGTCTGTTCCTGGGCCTCAGATGGGTTATTGGGATCCTCTTTAGGGAAGGAGCCATGCTGAAGATTCAGTAAAATGGAGAATACAGGGATTCTGAGAGAACTAATGGGACAGAATGCGAGGGGAGATGAGTGGAGGGTTACACCCCTTCTCTTTTGTACCACTGAGAAAATATTTCCTGAGAGCTCCTCTGTAGACTTGATTGGCGCTGTGCTGTGTGCTGTGGATACTGATATGAAGAAAACATTATCCCAGTGCTTCAGGAGCTCCATCTGGAAAGCAATTCACTGCCAAATGGCATGAGAAGTGCTGTGACAGACTTGAGTAAAGTCCAAAGGGTTCAGAAGGGGCAGTGGTCGTCATTGCATGGGGGTGACCTCAGACTGTCCTGATCCCTGTATTGGACCCTTTCACAGTTGGATAACCAGTCCCAGCCTCGTGACCCTGGGCCTCAGTCAGCATTTAGCCTACCAGGGTCCACCCAGCACCTGCGCTCCCAGCTGTCACAATGCAAACAACGCTATCAAGATCTCCAGGAGAAGCTGCTGCTATCAGAAGCCACTGTCTTTGCTCAGGCTAATGAGCTGGAGAAATACAGAGTTATACTTAGTAAGTAACTGTGACTTACTAGTAAAGTAAGTAGCCTGTGTATCTTATAACTTCTGTGCATTCTATACCGACATAACGTGGTTATTGAGCACATGAAGTGTGGCTACTGCAACTTGAACATTTGGTTTTATTTAATTTTAGTTAATTTAGTATAAAGTGGCCATATGTGGCTACTAACTCTCTTATTGGACAGTACAGGTCTAGGTGTCTTGGGACTCTAAATTAGTTCAGCTCCATTCCACATTTATTGAACCCCTGTGGATAAAGCACTTGCCAGCTTCAATGTGGCTGCTAGAGATGATAGTATAGAATCCCTGACTTAAGGGGAGATTGTCAATGGCAAATGCAGGCTCATCCTATGGAAAGAAATTCTGCTTCCTGGAGCGGGTGGTCTGTTCTCCCACCAGTTCAAAGAAGCTTCTCTCCCACTGTGGATCTGACCTCCCTGCCCCAAAAGGTTAGGGTATGTGCCACTGAGGCTGAGGGCATATGTGGGAAATTCAGACATTCTGTAACACCTGCTATCTCTTCCCAAGCAGGTGAATCCTTAGTGAAGCAGGACAGCAAGCAGGTCCAGGTGGACCTCCAGGACCTGGGCTATGAGACTTGTGGCCGAAGTGAGAATGAGGCTGAACGGGAGGAAACCACCAGTCCCGGTAAGAGCACAGGGTGTGGGGCCCACCCCTCCCTGGAGTCAGCTGTCACATTTGGGTGCTGTTGGCCAATTCTACACCTGACAAGTAGTAGGGAAGAGGAGGACAGGAGGTTAATAGGAGAACTCTTACCCAAAATG